GAAGATCAATCGTAAAAGTAAGCCAGCCAAATCTATCTAATCTCATTAATTAAGCTCATTTTTAATCTCCTATCGGTGAGTGGGATTTGTCTTGATTCAATTGTGGAATAGCCAGCTCATTCCAACGAAGTCCCACCCCACATTTTATCTCATAAAAGCCATGCCAATCCTCTCTGCCCGCACACCACCACCAAAGCCTCCACAATGGCTACCACTCCCCTGTCTTTCTTTCTCCTTTCACTCCTCCTCTCCCTCTCCCTCAATGCCCAAGCTCAAACCCCGACAGCACCCGCCCCGATGCCCTCCGGTCCGGTTAACTTCACCGCAGTTCTTGTAAAGGGTGGACAGTTCACCACACTCATTCGCCTGCTGAACAAGACTCAAACTTTCAACCAAATTGAGAATCAGCTTAACAGCTCTTCTGAGGGCATGACTATCTTTGCCCCAACCGATAATGCCTTCAACAATCTTAAAGCTGGTGCTTTAAATGGCCTCAACCAACAAGAACAAGTTCAGCTTCTTCAATACCACACGTTGCCGAAATTCTATACCACGAGCAATCTTTTGCTGGTTAGTAACCCTGTTCCCACTCAGGCCTCAGGCCAAGATGGTGTCTGGGGTCTTAACTTCACTGGCCAAAGCAACCAAGTCAATGTATCAACAGGGCTTGTTGAGGTTCAAATTAACAACGCTTTAAGGCAAGATTTTCCTTTGGCAGTATTAAAAAAATAAAAAATTATACAGAAAGTAAATAAATAAAAATATTGGAGTCTAGTCTATATTTGAATAAATGTTAAAAGATAAAACTAAAAAAAAAATATAAATTAAAAAAAATAAAGCAAACCTTCTAACCTTGAAATCAAATATAAAGAACTAACAAATTAAAGATTTTTTTTAGAATTTTTAAGAGGTTGACATGAAAATATATAAAAAAAAAAATCATTAATTTTAAATTAAAAATAATTTTAAAATACACATCACCTAATTGTGAAGAGGACATTGAGAAGATTCAAATACCGTTACAGAAAATGATTTTCGGTGGCCAAATATCCTAATTATTTATTAAAATACAAAAATATTCTTGAGTTAATTGATATTACACAAAAACACAAATATAATATAAAGATAAAAAAATATGAGAGATTTTTAAAAATAACATACTTTAACTATTTTGAAGTAAAAAAATACACTTGAATGAAAATTAATCTATTTTTTATTTAATAATTAAATTAATAATTTTATAGTATAAAAATTAAAATGACCAATCTAACTCTACATAATTTGTAAGAAATAATTGTATCACAGTGAAAAGATGACGTTATCCCTATTTTCTAGTTCACAATTTTTATGATTCAAGGATAATTTTATTATTATACTACTATAATAAATAGTATTTTATGTCTTGCTGCACGCTAATTTCCCTTCATCCTCAGGTTTTTGTTTTAATAAAAACTCACACTACTAGCATTAAAAAACAAAAAATATAATGGATGATATAATCTTTTATCAATTTAGCATAAACCAAAAAAAAATAAAAAAATAAAAGTAATGATGGTTTCGTTGGTGCTGCCACTGACATATTTGTTCAAATTACTATTGAATCGCAAACAAAAACTATATCCTAATCACTTGTAAAGTTAAATGAAATCACCTTAATAATCACCAGCCACAAGAGTTCAATAGCTACATGCCAATTACGACAGCGCAGCACGTTGGTAATGGGACCATTGGAAAAGCCATTCCCAACACAATCATGCTCAAACATTTCTGCACCCCACTCACAATTTGGTGGCATTATATATATATATATATATATATATATAGAGAGAGAGAGAGAGAGAGACGCGCGCGCGCGCACACGCACGAAATAGGCATCATATGCTCACCTG